GCGGCCTGATAGGTTTGCTGTTTACATCGTTTCAATTTCAATTTTAGTTTAATTTTTCATTTAAAATGATATCTGAGATTATTTTGATCTTTCTTCCATCCAAACATGCATGGATTCAGATCTTGGACGCGGTTCTTGAGAGAGGTTGACAAAGCTTGAGAACACAGGCAGTAACTTTAGGTATATTTATGTGTTCATTTTTTTTATTTTTATATGTAATTTAGACTAGCAATACAAAATGAATTTGCTGAATGTTGGTTTCAAGTGGGTAAATAGATTCCAGTATGTCGTTATTTATGTTCAACTCTTGGTTTATACAAGTAGTATGATGGTTGTTCGTAATGTTTAAAAAAAGCAAATGAAAAACTGAAATCCCTTTGAAGCTTCTTATTTCACATGGCAATGAAGCTAAATCCCATCATAATAAATGATATTTCATCACCCACTCTTTTGTTTCAGTGAGTGTTCGAGATGTTTTCATAAAATGTAGCTTGATTCTATTTCATTACTTTTTTTATAAATCACACCAGGCTTGATATGCATTTGCACTGTTGAGAGATCAAATATGGAAAAGATATTATGAGTTTTATGATCTATTTAGTATTCATGAGAATATCTAAATTTAAGAATTCTGGTGCTAGAGCTATCATATTTGATGGTATCGGCCTATTTTACTAGAGTAATTTAGACCACATCTCAAATTTTGGAAGCTTTCTTTATACTCATCCCTTCTCGCTAGGTTTCTCCTCTACCCTCAAATCTCTATCCGTCTATGACAAAGCTGAGAAGTTAAAGTCCTCTGCAAAATGGTTAAATTCCTCACATCTCTTGGAATTGGACGCTGTTTTTGGTGTGTAAGTGTGCATGTGGTTATAGAAGAAAATTCATTGCTCCCAATTCTTAGCAGCTTGATTTTCCTCTCTTTTCACGCAGGTAATAATCACAACATGTGTTCTGATACTAAAACTGCTTGGGACTGATTGAAGTATCTACTGCAAAACTGATGCCTGAAGACCAACGAGTCATAGAGCATCAACAAGCATCAGCCATCATGATGAACCCTGAGGTGTAGGATTCCAGGCTAGCCCATGATGAATAATAATGGGTCAAAGGGATGTCTTTTTTCATCTTTTCTCAGATCTAACTTCTCTACTTTGTCCCACAGGAGTGGTTATGGCAAGTTACTGCCGAACACGAACGAAATGAGTGAATTCAAGATGGAGAGTGGATCGGATCATCGTGATATAGATGTGGTGATGGTGTAGAATCAAGTGATGACTGGAGAGAGGTTGAGAGGGAAATGCTGATGATTGGCGATATCAAGGATTTGTGTGGCTCATCATACAGCAGTCAAGAGAACGGTCAATCACACTTGACATAGGGATCAGAAAGGGGATGAAGATGATGGAAAGTAGATGAGGAACGTGAAGGGTCATCAATTCAAAAATATTGTTGCTGAGAGGAAGAGAAAGAGGAAAGTTAGCAAAAGACTATGCTCTTCGTAGATTGGTCCCAAATATTTCCAAGGTCCATTTTTCATTTCTTAAATTTTCTCCCCCACAAATCGATCGATATTAGGAGAACTAGATATAGTTTAGTACTTTGATTGAATTTGTTTTATTGTTAGATTCAAGTATTACACAATTCCTTAGATTATTGTTATTTAATTTAAAAATAAAATATCTTATTTAGTCTGAAAATCATCATCATTTATGATGCAATAACTTTTTTTAGTACGAACTCTCTTAGATAATTCTTAGATGATATATGGTTTAATTTAAAAATTCTCTATTTTATTCATTTTGGAAAACATTCTTTATGAATTATTGGAGAGAAGGTTTACATACCTCAAACATTTTTATGAATTTTTAGGGAGAAGCAATAAACAAAGTCGAGAAGAAGGTTTATCACTGCACATGATGACTATATTTTCCCTTTTTTACAAGAGAATGTTTAATACGTTTTAATTTTCTTTAATTTTTTTTTTCTATTTTTTCTTTAATTTTATTTCCTTTTTCTATTCTTCATCTTTTGCAAATCCCAAAAAAATGATATACTTTTTATTTTTGAGTTTTTAAAATTTGAGAAAGATGCAATATATGTTAATTTTTTTGACTTCTTTTTTTTTATTTCAAATACAAACAATTTTGAACTTTTTAAACATTATGAAAAAAATTTAAAAAAGAAGTAAAAACAATATATATATAGAGAAAGAAACAAAGAGGAAAAACTAAAAATAAATTAAAAATAGGAAATGAGCTTTGATATCCCACGTGGTTTGAAAAATAGGTACCAATGCTCCACTCTTTTTGCCAGAAAAATGGTTAAAAATGATCAAATAGGTGTGTGTGCATCATTTTGAAATCACAGCAATTTTATAACAAAGTTTTGGAAACAAAGGTGCTTTTGATAATAATTTCATAAACTTTAGGAGATGTTAGAACTATTAAGATAAAATTAAGAGTAAAAAAAGTATTTCTTCCATCCCGTGCGTGGCACGGGTAAAATACTAGTATATTATATTTGAGAGTTGAACTCTCAGAATTGCGACATTTGGCGTGATGACTGGACTGTTTTTTGACACCTAATCAGCCATGTCATCAAGAGAATTGAATCGAACTTTCCATCGACTAATTTATGATATAATAAAAGAAATTATGTAACATATTAAAATTAGTGAAACATAAATATAGTATTGCATAAAATAAAATTATTAATGGAAAAAAGAAAAGTTTCTTTTTTAACTAACCAAATTTTCAGTAAAGTTACCATAATATTTTGCTCGGACTCCAATTAAGCTTGAAAATTAGTCAATTGAATAAAAAGGATATTAAATCATTTTTATAAAAAATAAAAATAAATTAAAACAAACTAAAACAAATTAAAAATGAGAACTTTTAACATTTAGCAATAAAATTTTGATCTAATTATTATTATAATAACTTTATTTAATATAAAAATATCATATTTCTTCAAAAATTATATTGACTACTGAACTTAAAACGAATAAAATTTTCTTTTCATTTACAATGTAACTTATACTGGTAGATAAGATACACACTTCACCTATATATTAATTTCACATACATTTAATATAATATTTAAAAATTAGATAAAAATATTCATTGTCGAGTTTGACAATATTTTTTAGAAAGAAGAAAAAAATGAACACAAATAGATGATTAGTTAATTTAAATTATATTTTTTCAGTATAAATTTTAACTTAGTGCAGATTTAAAAAAGTAAATTTTTTTTGGAAAAAAGTACAATTTTAATAATGATTAGTTTATATTTAGTATTATTCTCATACAATTAGAATATGTTTAAATTAGCCAAATATATAAATATAATGAACATAAAAAATTTGGAAAAATATGCAATTTTTTATCTTTTCCTAAATGTATAAAAATGAGACTCGGGTAATTAAGAACTAACATGTGGCTTACTCATGAGCCTCTTTTTAACACCTAATATGTCACATAGATTTTGATGTGGAAAATATGAAATTAAAGTTTGGTAAATATTTTTGAATCTTTACATATTAAATTTGAGAGTTAATTTCCTAAATCTTTACTCAGTATCATTGATTTTCGATACTGAGTATCTTTTAATTAATTTAGTCTGACTAGGAATACACTCTCTAATAGTAGGAGGATATGTTAATAATGTAAATTAAAGGATTTTGTTACATTTTTAAATATGTAAATTTGGTACGTATGTATTTATCCCGCGAAATTGATTCCGAATCATAAGAAATTGATATTTTGGGATCAAGACAACGCAAAATCCTTTCCCAAACTAAAATATTATTACGATATCAATATGAGTTAAATACGATGACATATCATAACATGCTCACTCCTAATAAACTTACACATTCCAAATAACTTTTGAATTATTTGGGACTAAACCAAATTTCCACTGGAAATTTTATTTCAAACCAAAAGAAACTAATAAAAGTTAATGAAAATTTTACAGAATCCTAGAGATGGCAAGGCCTCATCTATTTTAAACACAACTATATTTGTGTTACTAGTGGACTACCCCGTGCTTCGCACGGGCTGGGGATGTATGCATGTGTTTTATGCAAAAAATAATTTTATATGGGTAGTGGATTTTCCTTTACAACATTTGGAAATTTGCATGTTTTATGCAAAATAAAATTTTATATGGGTAGTGGATTTTCCTTTACAACATTTGGAAATTTGCACCCCATCCCCTATTTCAGATTGTTGCAAACACCATACCACACCACATAGATGTCATTTAAAAATATCATTCTATTTTGTATAAAATGGAATACATAAAAAATAAAGCTTTTTTGTTCCCATTTTAATAGTGTCTAGTTTCTCTTATCTAAATACAGTTGTTACATAATAAATAGTAGAATTTTTAATCATTCTGAGTGAAAACCGCATATAAAGGTAATTGTTCCAACTGACTTGCCCATAACTTATGGTGGAAGAAATTATTCTTTTTTGTTAGCTAAGGCCTAACAAATCTGCAATTCTATTGTTTCATAATATAATTTTCATTTGACACCAAAGAAAATGGTAGGAAATGTAGTTATTTTTTTAGAGTAGCAAATTGGCATTTTCTTGAAGCTGTAGCACCCACCCAAAGTAGCCAAGTGAGCAATAATATTCTAGCACCCACGCAGAGGGGTGCCAATTTGTGACGAACAAAATCAGCAAAAGCACATTATACAAACCAGAAATATTAATTCCAAAAAGGTATAATGAAGAAATGTGTGCCAAAAATGTCAGGTACTAATGAGAAGAGATGGGCTTTGGTTATTGTTGTATTAAGCATATCAAAGGAGATTGGGGTGGTATATGGTAATGGGAATTATTTTTTGTTGTTAAAGGTCACATATTATGTCAAGCTATGCATTCTTTAAATCTCAAATAATAAAGATTTTGAGTAATCCAGAATCCAGAAATGGAAACCATCATGGGTTAAACTATCTTATTCTAATCCATTTTAGCACACATATGCAGTACTAACTATACAATTTACTGCTTTAGGTATCCTAAACCTTCAACTGAAAGAACAGTACACTACTTTAAGTAGTACCGTAATGTTGAGTTAAACATTTTCAACTCTCCAACAGTTTTACAAAGAGTAGACAAACCCACCCAGAGCTTAAATATGTGTTGGTGTGGTGCATGCACATCTACTCATTTGAGATTACGCAAGTACTGTATATTGGCTATTTTGTCAAAAACAAATCGCTTTTATTTTCACAACTTCTAGCAGTTCTCCACTTTAAAATCAGTCAAATGGATCCGATTCAAAGTGTTGCATTGAAAATCCCCATTTTTTCAATTCTTGGTTAGTCCAAACCCGGGGAGGCGTCAACAAACGCGGCACCGACCTGTTGATTGCCCCTGCCAACAGCCAACATCAGGAACGGAAACATTATAATTGGTTAGTAAAGAAAATAATTTCCAAATAATCATAAAAGCACCCTACATGGCTTGACACATAAACTCATAACCCTCCAGGTAGAGACACTCCGACTCAGAAAGGTCAGTTCATGTGAAAATCCAACTCAAATTGAGTTACTGGGAAGAATTACTTGCCACCAGAAACTCAAAAACACCAGGGAATAGCAATAGGGTGGTAGGTTTGTCGCATGCTACATGTGGAAGAGAATCATAAACGAAGTGAGGTAAATGCATTATAAGTTATCTTCCAGCTCACATGACCAGTGTTAGTCTCTCAATATAAAAACAGATTTTCCTATTATGGACACGTTGAGAAATGTCTCAAGTGTTAGTAGTGAGAAACTCACCTCATATTTTAAAAGATAGGAGTAATATTTAATAATTGACCGTGTTAAATTGACAACATTATAAAATTTGGAATCCTTCAACTATATAGATCCATTTAGTCCTTCAAAAATATACAGAGTATTGATTTATGATTATATAATAATATCACCGAAGATCAGCATCAGTTGTACTTAAAGCGATGTGATAACTTGTTTCAAAGTATCTAAATTGGACACCAAAAGAAATAAGGGACACGTGAAGCTTATGAGCTATTCAAAGCAACTTTTATACAAATAACCATAACTCTAACCAATGCCACTAAATCGATTCATAAAAAGAGAATTAGAGCTCTTCCCACTTTTATGAGTTGTTTATCACCTTCATTTTTTATTTTGAATTACTCACACAACTTTAAACCATAAGAAGATGAAACTAAAGCATATTGAATGTGATTATAAATGAAATGTTGAGGGAAAGTGGCCGGGCAGTACACATTAGCAAATTTATAATGATTGAAAGGGATGATATCTCTATATTGATTTTTCTATTTTATAAAAGGGAACGTCTCATACATGTGCACACTGTGAACAGGAAAACATTGGGTTATACCCCACCAATATCATAGATAACCCAAAACAATAAACACATGGGAATACAACACATTGAGAAGGCTAATACGTAGTATAATTTACTAACCTTTCCGGAAGCATCTTCACATGAGTGGTCCAGTGAGCAAACTAAAGCGCCAAAGAAGTGGCCATATTTCAGCTAAAAATCTTGATGGGTTGGCATGGGTTTATACTTTATATCATACAAATTATTGTTAGTGTATCTGAACAAATTTGCACAAATTAAAATTTTAGTTATCCAAACAGAATCACACAAAACCAATATTTATTTTTTCCATGATGCATCTTACCATAAAACAAAACATTAAAAATGGCAAATTAAGGTAAGAGGCCTAGTGTGAAATATATTTTTCTTTACGACAATAGAAAGCTTAATAATTAAAATCACTGGCAAACAATAAATTGATGGAAAGTGTTTCGTATCCTTGTGGACTCCGAATCGCTCCAATCTAGGAATTGCCTCAACTGCATCCTCATAGCAACCAGCCTTTCCAAGCCTTCTGATGACTATAGTGGCGGTTTCCAATGTGATGTACCCTTCTAAGAGACTCATTTCTTCCACCAATTCCCACATCGCAATAAAGTTCCTTGTCTTCCCCAAGTTGTCAATCATTACATTGTACAAATGAGGAGGGAGGTTAAAGTTGGACTGCAGTTTTACCCATTTAAAGAATCCATATGCTTTTATCCACTCATAGCTGAATCTTTTGAGAATTCTCTCAACCAAACCTTCACACAGATCAACATTGCAGACACCTAATGCTTGAAGGACATCATCTGGTGACTGGAACGGGTTTTTCAAAGTTTGGGAGATTTTATCAACATCACTAACAGCAACATTTTTCAGACCCTCGGCACCAATTTCTTGTATCTGAAGCTTATCATTTTCAATCCAATCCCATAATGAAGGTATTACAAAATCATCATCATCTTCGGGTAAATTAGACACATCCTGTTTTATTTCACCTGGAAAGGTAACCCAACCTGGAAGCTCCGGAGACTCATTCATCTCAGGCAGCTCGTCAGCTTTACTCACCCCTGTTAGTGTGCATAATCTGTTGACCAGGAATGCACCCCCATAGCCGAAGCAGTGATACTTATTTCTATAGAAGCCCAAATTTTTCATGCTCCGTGAGAGCCAGAAATGCTGGAATTGCTTCAGCTTCAATATCATTCTTGAAAAAGCTGCAAGTCGATGATAAGCGAACGGAGTAAGGTCTTTATGATTGTGGTCTGAAAGAAGTATTCACTAAGCAAATATGAATTTCGTTATGGGGACATTTTCAGATTCCTAAAATAAATATACCCTCCATAGTGGTAAGTTCCTTTAAATCACATACATTTCAAAGATTCTACGTCGTCTAACTGAACTGGAATTGTTTCAATATGAAAAAAAAACTTGAACATAGATAAAACTACTCCTAGTACTAAAAGTAATGGAGAATCAAGAAACCATGGGAAATTGATTTCAGATTGGAAAAAACTCTATCAATTAACAAAATAATAATATTGATGATAATAAATAATAGAGGGGGGGGGGGGGGACAAAAAGAAAATCACATAGTATAACAAAGAATTTCCAATTCAATATTTAGGAAATGAGCCATCATTCATCAGTGCTTCATGTTGCTAAATTAAAAGGATACACCGAAGCAATTCGCACAACTTACACTTCAATTTGAATAAAAATAAAAATTAGATAATTGAGAATGTTTTAATTCACACCTTCACTGCCGCGTTTAGTCGTGGGCAAGTGAAGGAGTGGGGTGTTCTCAACATCAGCTCATCCTTGGAATTTGGAGGCCTGCATGCATGACCATAGAAGGTCATAAACTTGGCCTATTATTGCCAAAAACATGCCCTACCCAATTGGGCCCTAAAGAAACCTACGTCAAAATCAGACCAAGGTAACTGTCATCACCATTAATCAAGAGCTTTATCTTCCTTCGACATAGCTATAACTAAAATCCAAGAGTAGAAGCTTGTGCCAAAATAATTATTCAAAAACTCAAAATCAAGCAACTTCTTTTACAAAAACTAAGTGACCATATCATAGCCATAGCTAAAACCAATGGCTTTGGCCAAAAGCTAGTTCCTATAGATGGAGAAAATAATAATAGTGAGAGACAACAATGTCTTTGTAAAAAGTTGTTTTATTAATGAAAAGAAAACTTAAAACAAACAATATCATTAGGAAAGATGTATAAGTAATGCTTCTAACACTCAATCCAGAAATACAACTTATTTATGAAATGGGCATCAAACATTACTTGCATAAACACATCTACCAGGCATGTCAACAGACTTTCCTTTGTATTAGAAAAGTTTTTTATATTTGAATAGTATCCCAAAAACTGTACTTGAAATGGAACATAGAACTATAGAGCCTACATTAACAAAAAGAATAATAACATAAAGATGAGACTAATTGAAACATATGTAGGCATAATATTAAATCATTGTTACCACTAATATGATAAGAGCATGAGTGGGATGCCCAGGTAGAAATGATTTGTGCAGTTTTGCTTCAATGCAGATCACGTGTGCCTTTACAGTGATTTGTGGCCTGAAATTTTCAAAAGGGTTCCTGCAAAAGAATTAGGAAGATGTTTTGTGCGCAAACCATAGAATCCAACCATCGAACTAATTACATTTTTCACTTACAAATGAAAATTGTAAATTGTTCTTGAGAATGTTGAGATATAATTTAACATTAAATTAATGAAATGAATAAGCAATTGATAAAGGGATTGATGTATAAATGAAACTTACAATAGAAAACAATGAAGAAAGTCACCCAGCCCCTGCACCGTCTAATATGGAAGCCTACAACCATAGTTCTAGAGTAGAAGTGACAGCTGAAATTCCAGATCTTATGGTAAGTGCATAGCGTGGGTATTCTCAGAATCAATCAGATAAAATAGGGCCTGCATAAATCATAAATAAGGCAAAAATATGGTGCAATCCTGATTCTTGCATTTTGCAATTCAGACAATTAGGCAAAAAAAGTAGCAAAAGCCAATGTTGGAAGTCTTCAAATAGAAAGATAATACCTGGGGGTTGAGATAGAGTTGTAGAGAGGTATAGTCTGGGGGGACCCTAATCGTTGGGTCTTTTTTTCGATCTGCGAGCTGGAGACGGAACCAGATGAAGGCATCTTCAATCGGAGACGGGCGACTTCAATCGAAGAGAGGGACGCACAACGGGCTGTTTTATGAGACGAAGGACAGGAAGCTGGACCGATTCCTGAAACGGAAGTAACCAGCGAGGAAGGGGGGGCCGCGTTCAGTCTCCAACCTGAAGCTCCAGGCAACGAAGCATAAGAAATTAATTAAGCGGAGAAATTAATTGAGGCTGAAGGCAGAAGAAGTTGTATACAATCTATATTTAACTGTCCAAATGGAAGGGAGACGGATTAACGGACTAATGCAGAGTCTATTAGAATCTGTGGTGGCAGGGAGTAAGCCAAGTCATCAAAAATTATCTGTGTCAGCTGCTTCGTCATGGTCCACATGTCAACACCACATCTGTACTTAGTAGTGTTAGAATAATAGACCAACGCTAGAGGGGGGTGAATAGCGTTTGATCAAAAAATCGCAGAAAAAAAAAATGAATAAACAAGAAGTAAAGAGAAGAGTAAGAGGCACACCGATTTTACCCTGGTTCACCACAACTTGTGGCTAATCCAGCCTCCCGAGAGACTCTCTCGAGCTACACTACTATCTCGTTAAGCTTAACGGTGCTTAACAAACCCGTACAACTTGAGAATTCGAGTCACACGAACCTCAACGAACCTTCGAAGGAAACAGCCCTTCCTTCGAACAACAAGAGAAATACTTTCTCTTGTCAAGTGTCTAAGAACACTAAAATCACTCAAGAACAATACTCTCTTTAAGAGTGGATAATGAGTAAACTAATAACGCTCAAGAACACAGCACAAGCTTCACAAAAATGGCTCTCAAAAGCTATGAAAAATTGAAGGATGATTTGCAATGAAAGAGTAGAAGTTGTGAAGTGATGTGATGTGTAAAACAGACCCAAACACCCCTTTTTATAGTAGAAAAATAGGCTCCAACGGACCAAAGTAATTAAGGGGTGATTTGCACAATGTGTGGGATTTGATAAAATTTGGATCTGCTAAAATTCACCTAGACAGCGCTGTTCTATACTTGGACATCGCTGTTCTAGGCTAACATTTTGAAAAATGGGAAGCAACGGTCATGCCAACAGCGATGTCTAAAAATCCTACATCGCTGTTTTGGCTGTTGACTTCCAAACAAGGAAAGTTTTAGCCTTAAATTCCTTCCAACGGTCAGGTCTCTACATCGATGTTCCATACTAGAACATCGCTGTTTAGATCTGCCTTTGAAGATGGAAATTTTGGCCTGACAGCGCTGTTGCTGGGTCAACATCGCTGTCCAAACACTTTCTACCAATGCACTATATTTTTGGCTTAGGTTGGACAGCGCTGTAGGGGAGCCTACATCGCTGTTCCAGAAGTTTCTGGAAATCCAACCTTGGCTCAACAGCGATGTCTAATGTCCAACATCGCTGTTGGAAGACTTAACGCCAAACCATGTTTTTGGCTACCCAGGCCAGACAGCGCTGTTGGTTACTCAACATCGCTGTTGAGATGGTTTAGCCAGACCCATGGTTGGTTTAGTCACGCCGTTAGCCGATGTCAAAAACGCAAGTTCTCCAAAATAAAAACCAAGTTTTGAAAACATTTGTATATTGCATTTTGCTAAGAAATCAAGTAAAACATCTTAAAAACCACGTCACTTAGTTGAAAACCACTTGGTTCGTTCGAACGCCGAAAACCAATGCCGAAAACCGAAAGCCGAACACCGGTTTCTAAAAACCGAACGCCGGATGGCTTGGTTTTTGGTTTGGGCGAACTCCAAGCGTTTTTACCCAAGTTTAAACTTAAGAAAAATATTTTTGAACATGCAAAAGAGATTTTTATGAATTGAGCCTAGAGAGCCAAGATTTGGAATTTTGTGCCGGTCTTGATCACATTGAGACCGACTCAAAACAATTCTAGTTCTTCGATCTTGATTCTGGGTTCTTGGTTCTCAATTCATCATGCCATGTTCCTTCGCCTTAGTTTTGCTCACTTTAGCTTTGACATGTCGCGGCGGTTTGGCATTATCAAAACCTGTCATAAGAACGAACACAGTTTAGTACGACGTAGGCGTAAACCCGTGTTCCAACAATTTCCCCCTTTTTGATAATGGCAAACAAGACGGGGATATGCATACTAAGGGTTATTTGTTTTTCAAAAGTTGTAAAAAAAAGTTCCCCCTTAATTTGTGCCAAAAAAAATTTAGTTGGATTAAAATCAAACGGTCTCGTTTATAGAGACGTTCCCCCTTAGTATATGCATAGCCCTTTTCTTCCCCCTTTTGACATTAACAAAAAGATAAACGAACTGATTTTATTTAATAAAGGGAAATAGCGGAATACAACGGAAGCATTAAAAAAACAGGATAATTAAAGTAAAAGAGATAGAAATTCTAGGGGAGTCCTAGTCTTCGTCTTCGGTTTCCTCCTCGTCGTCGTCGACGTCCATCTCATCCCCATCGATGGCATCGTCAAACTCGTCTTCATCCGGGGAGCTTGACGGGGCGTAGGAATCATCGGCTTCGTCTTCGTCACCGTACACTTCCCCAAGGAACGTGCCGTGGTACGGTGGGGGGACGTAGTTGATGCCTTGGAAGTACGAGTTCATCGCGTATCCTTGGCGTTGAACGGCCACGTCCAGCCGTTCAAGGTAGCCACCCATCCCGTCAACTTTGAGGTGGAGCCGGTTGAGGGAGTCGGCGATGGAGGCAAGGTTGGCCCGGGCCTGGGGTTCGGCTGGGCCAGCGGCAGTGGCAGGGCGGCAACTTTTTCTATCTTTTCATTTTGTTCCATATTCCCGACGGTTTGTCAATATCAAAACCTAAATGGAAACAAACATTGTCATTAGCAAAATGGCAAAGTGAAAATGTTTTCCAACAAGTAGGTCTTTTTCATCGTGAAATCTGTAAGAATCCCACAGGCCCGACACCCGTGCTGTAATCGCACTGTTCTTGGATTCCAGCGTCAATTTCTCAATAGGGATGCATTCTTCTACCATCTTTAGCAGTGAAGATACCATGGCTGCAAGGGAATAAATAAGGCGTACGGACGAAATTTTTGGTGCAAGAAGTGCAATAAGACAGTGAATGATGCCATTCCAAGGTAAATTTTATGCGCATGTCATGATAGAATTAGCACATGTTAACACTGTCAATCAGGTAATACACACAGTCTCACTTCAAATTCAAAACACAATAATGCATATGGCGTATTAATGAAAGCAATTTGTTTACAAATAAACCAAAAAAAATTGTGTGTATTCGCAGATTTCGAATTGAATTAGGAGTCAAGGATGCCACAGCAAGAGTTAAACATACCCTTAAAAATCCAATTGCAATTCATAAAATCAGAACAAATGTATAAAAAAATTATATTCATGAACAGACCTTTTGTATTTTATTAATGACGTCTCTTGATTTTGAATCTTTGAAATCATCCTTAACCTCTATACCACCTCTTTCTTCACTCTCATCTGCACCATAGACACAAAACCATAAAATATTCAACGTAAACAAATGAACAGGAAAAAAAACAGAAAAAACAAACAAACAAACCTTTTTGGGTCTTAGGTTTAGAATCTGAAATATCATCTTCATCATTTTTCTTTTTTTCTTCATCTTTTTTCTGATTCACACAAATATTTATCAATTCAGTGCATCCAATTGATGAAAATGTCGCCTAAAGAATGATTAGAAGAAGTTGTTTTTCTGGGTGGGGGATATCAACAAACACTTGGTATGCTTCACGGTTTGAGCTTTGGGAGCAACTGGCTATCCATGAAACTTCTCCTTAAAGTCTACAATTAACTATATGAGCTTTGTAGATATAAATCAAATGACTTGAGCCTAAATTGGTGGTACTTACTATGAAAGTTGAACATCATGGATTGAAAACGGCAGCCAAATAAAGAAGACGGTGTTGCTCAATAGTTTTGACTGGCACCGTGGATTAAAGAAGACGGTGGTAGCCAACCAAATTGATTCATGACTGGCATCGTGGATTTGGCATCGTCCCATCGTCCGTTTCTTTTTCCTGGTAAGTCGTAACGCAGATAATCTCAGAAGTCGGAAGAGTTATCACACTTTGTAAGCCAGGTGTCAACCCCACAGCTAATTAACCCTACTTTATATATATATATATATACTAGTATTCCTACCCGTGCAATGAACGGGTTCGGACAAAATTTTTATTGGTTTTAAAACTTTTTTAATGTAACATTTTTTCCCAGAATAAAGAAATAATATTTCCCTATGATTTTTAATACTATATACAAAAATTTCAAAGTAGAATAAACAATATTTGAGGAATTACAAAAATACTATTTTGGCACTTTCTCCATATTCTAATCTTATTTTAGTTTTTTTCCCAAATAATTATAGTGGCATTTCGTAATCCGTATAGGTGGCGGATGATTTGTTAAAATGTTGCCATGTAGACTCACCACTTATTGTAATTCTATGAGTTTAACTCTTAAATTTAATATATAAAGATAAAGATAAGCTTCGATATATGAAAAACAATTTTTGTTCATCTATAAATGCAATATCAATAATTTTTTTTAAAACGTTGTTTTGAAATATGAATTTTCATAAGATACGATAAGTATAAATATTGATATTAATGATCAAAATATTATATTGGAGAGCATTAAAAGTTAAATGAGAAAATTAAATCTACTTATACAATGAGGAGTTATAACATGATCATTAATTTTTTCAAGATATGTAGCAACCAAACCCATTCTTTTTGTTTAGCATAAGACCACTAACATAAATATAAAATTAATAAAATTCATTCTGAAAAGTAGGTGCATAATTAATTATTTCATAAAATGGATGAATCTAAATCACTTTTTTATGCAAAAATATACTCCCTTCGTCCCTCATAAATCTTCTCATTTACCTTTTTATTTGTTCACCATAGATCTTCTCATTACCTTTTTTAACAATTAAAATATATACCAGAACTATCCACACTTACTTTATTTATTACACCTCACATACCTCATTTAAAACACTCCATCCATTTTTATTAAGGGTATTATGGTAAACTTTTACATTTTTTCAATTCTCCTTAAAAACCACAAAAGTCAAAATTAGAAGATTTTACGGGGACAGAGGGAGTAATTCTAAATCCAAAAATAAAAAGTGTTCTTTACCCCATATACGTATATATGGTAAATAAATTAGTATGTTTAAATAATAATAAAAACTTTATTCATTAACTGTCTCAGTTCGCTTTGTTGTCAAATGTTTGAATTATTATTTATATAAATATATAATGAAATGAAATATTAAAAATTAGACTATAATCTCAAGATTAAAAATATGTTTGATAAAAATGTCATTGGTCAAACATATCATTCGAAAAATGAACTGGGTATTAAAAACAATAGAGTCACTAATTCTTAAGATTAACTGCATGAAACTAAACAGACAAATAATTTAGTCACTATGTTCAATCAATAAAAAATTAAATAAAATAATTACAAATTAATGCTCCGTATGTTGATTAAAATTACCAACTTATTAAAATAATAAATAATAGACAACATATGATTTATTAAAGATGTCATATTAGCTCATGACATGCCAATATTATGTAAGCCAGAGTCTCAAATTTTAAAATAAAAGGAAGGATTAGCCAATAAATGTCATTAGCAAATAATTGAAAGTTTTTTATAATTAACATTTATAACCTCCTAATTATAATTACTTTACATATACCTCGTATAATTTTTTCATATGTGCAATAATTGGGAATGAATATTTGCTATAATAAGATGTTTTTATACTTTAAGTTAAAATTGTCAAGTCACTTAAGTCATCAAATGTGGCTGATGATGTTTAAAAAAAATTGCCAAGTAGCCTGCCACATGTCGCATTTCTAGGAGTTTAACTCCTAAAGAATTATATATAAAGGATAAGCATTTGTTTTTATAAATAAAAAAATTAAAAAATTATTTTTGTATGTGTCAAAAGATATGCACTCAAGGTGCGCTAAAGAAATACCTCTTGATTCTCCCTCCATTAAACATTATGATTAGGTATCCACTTTGGATATTGTAATTTTCTCAGTTAAAAAAATGCCTAGAATCAAAATTTTAATTATTTCTAAAATTATCAAATGTTAGACATTAGAATACACAATAAAAAGAAGATGAAAGTAAACTCAAATGGCAATAATAGTTAGAAGGGAGAAGTATTGAGGTAGAAGTCAAAATAAGCAATTTTGATATTTTTTTATATTTTACGTCTATAATAGTTTTTCTCTTTTTTTAACCTTTTCAATTTGTTGTAACTTAAATGTGTTATTATTATTATTATTCAATGGAATAATTAATTTGCATAAAAATAAATTAAACATATATTATCAATAGAAAGAACTATAATGTTTTTTTGCATTGCACTCATTATAATTAATCAAAATACATTAGAAAAAAATTAAAAATTACTCCTTCTAATTATTTTCTTATTTTTCTACTTTGTAATTATATTCTAGTCGTCGTATAAGGTATATATTAGGTATATAATTAGAATTGGATTTTTCTATATTTTAATATAAAAGTGCCAAGTCATTAAAGTCTTCAAAGGTGGCGGATGACTCACAAAAAATTGCCAAGTAGACTTGCCACGTGTCAACATTCTGTGAGCCCGAGTCTCAAATATTATAGATAAAGGATATATAATATATATGATATATGATGATATATGATATATGATATGATGATATATGATTTGTATACTAATGTAAAAAAAGGATTCATATTAGAATGAAATTAATATTGACAATCCAAAGAGTTTGATGACTCATTTAGGGGCTGTTTGGCAACTTCTAAATAGGTAAGTGCTGAACCAGTAAGAGGTCTGAACCATTAAGTGCTGAACCAGTAAGAGGTCTGAACCATTAAGTGCTGAACCAGTAAGAGGTCTGAACCATTAAGAGCTAGTATATTGCTTAACTATTCAGAGGCAAATATCTGATCAATTCAGATAAAAGCTCTTAACCATTCAGACTCTGTATAATACTTAACCATTCAGAGGCAAATCTCTTAACCATTCAGACATCTAAATCATTAAGAGGCTGAAACAAACAGTCTGAACCATTAAGTGCTGAATCATTCAGACATCTGAACCATTAAGAGGCTGAAACAAACAGCCCCTTAGTAAGATTTCATTACTAAGGATGGTGTATTCAATCTAAATTTTAAAAGATTTTATAATATTATTTAAAATTTGTACATTCTGTAAAAAGCATGGATTGTTTTAATTCTACATCGACTTAGATAGATTTTATTATATTTTATTGGCAAGATTTTAAAAGATTGTGTTAGATTGTTTAAAATCCAAATAATAATGTGGAACAAAAAAAATTAACCGTGAAAAAGAAGGGAACAAAAATAAAAAGCCAAAAATTGATCAAAAGAAATAAGTTTAGTGTGAAAAAAGTTGAACTATCAGAAATAAATTGAACAAAAAGCAAAAAAAAAGGTCAAATCAAAATTGAACAAAAAAAACAAAGAATTAAATGTTAAATGCTATATTATTTATTCTACTTTTGATGTGTGTAGTATTAAAAATCATATCAAAATATATATTTTTATTCTTTAAATATTTTACATTGAATAAAAATTATAGAATCAGTATTTACTCACGGTCAACTTTATGTTACAGTTTCACGCGTGAAAACTAAGAGAGGATTGAAAGTATTAGTTTTAGATGACAACGGTAACCCTTGCAATTGTACCAAAAATGTGGTTTACCCTAAAGTTTTCCAAAAACATTTGGATTTAATTGATACATTTGTACATTCTTTTCAATTTTTATATGCATAAATTTTAGTTAGCATACTCTGTTTATGTTGTATATATCTAAAATTCTATATTATATCTACTTTTATTTTATAACTATTTACTTAAAATAAAAACTTAGCAGATTTAAAAATAACTTGCGTTCGACCCCGTGCGTTGCACGAGTTAAATACTAGTATGTTTAAATTAGCCAAATATATAAATATAATGAACATAAAAAAATTTGGAAAAATATGCAATTTTTAATCTTTTCCTAAATGTATAAAAATGAGACTCGAGTAATTAAGAACTAACATGTGGCTTACTCATGAGCCTCTTTTTAACACCTAGTATGTCACATAGATTTTGATGTGGAAAATATAAAATTAAAATTTGGTAAATATTTTTGAATCTTTACATATTAAATTTGAGAGTTAATCTCCTAAAATGCGACATGTGACGAATATACATGGCAACATTTTAACAGATCACCGGCTACCTATTAATGATTGAATGATGTGGCAATTTTAATCAAAATATGGGTAGATCCAATTTAAATTGTATACGGAGTATATGTCTTATGTACAGTGTTACTATAATTGTTTGGAAAAAAATTACTCTGTACAGAATAAGAATAAACATGGAGAAAATATTGTAATAAAAATGCATTTTTTATATCCAAAATAGGAGCCACCAAATATTAACAGAGTCCTTAGTTTTAAAAAGAAGATATTTGTAATGTATTTCTACCGAAAGACAAAGTTTGTTCTATATATTGGTGTTAAAGTATACAAAATTGAAAAGAAAAGTCAATTGAGAAGATCAAATCCAAACACAAAGGGAGTGTTGTTAAAGAAATTAGAACAATTCATGAAGTTTTATGCAATTGAGTGAGAACTAAAAAAATTTTAAAAAAAAATTAAAAAATCAACTTCTAAAATAATTAAAATAATAGTATAAATTTTTAAAATCAACTTTTAAAATAATAGTTAAATTTTTCACATAACATTTTATAAAATTATCACATAAAAATAATCACATATATTTTACATACCCAAAATTTTTTCACTTGATATGAATTTAGTTTTAAAGAGCAAAACAAACATAGTTACAAGCGTTTTCACAAAGAAAAATTACAAAAACATTTAAAAATAATCATAGGTATTTCGCTTTTGACTTCATTGAAGTCACAACAAGTACTTTTTTTTAAAAACACAACAAATATTTGCATGAGATATATATAACAAAACAATATTGCAA